CAAATAAAAGGTGGCTTTCCACTCTCTACTACGGTGGGGACTTAGGCCACAGCACGGCAGAGAATTCCCTCCAAAATGAGATTGTAGACACAGGCGTAGAGTCCATGGCACAAGGAACCCTGACTAGAAGAGCCCCATGAATTCACTAGTCTCACAGCTCAAGCCAAGTCAATACTGGACACACACTCTAGGTGTTCAGTCTATATCATCCATGTAGGATGCCTTTCTGTCCTAACAAGACAGTCACTTGTTCATGATACAATATTGATGTATTAATTGGCTACATCTCATGACTGCTAAGTAGAAGGTTGGAGGTTAGAGGCCACCTAGAAGCACCTTGGAATGAAGGCCAGGTAACCCAATTCTAGGAAGAACCCTGGTGGTGTAGTGGTTACACGCTGGGCCGCGATCGGCCTGGTTGGCAGTTTGAAACCACCAGCAGCTCCAAGGGAGAAAGACTGGGCTGTCTACTCCCATAGACAATGACAGTCTCAGCAACCCACTCGGTGAGTTTGGCTTTGAAATCTACTTCTGAAAAACCAGCCCTTAAAAACCCTACAGAGCACAGTTCAACTCAGACCCAAACAGGGTCCCATGGAAGTGACACACATGGGGATTCTTGGAATCAACTTGACAGCAACGGGTTTTAGTAAGTCAAGTGAGATCAAAATCCAAGGTCAGAGCTCAACATTCCCCCCGCCCACACACACAATAATGTTTAAACTACACTTTATTCAAAATCCTAGAATCATTTGAGTGCCATCCCTGTTTGTTCCTTATTCCGCATCCAAAAATCTTTATCAGGAAGAAAGACGGGGCTTGTTCCTCTTGTCCAATTTGACAATGCATTTTCTCCTCTTGTTTCTTTAATTCCTTTATTTTCTGACAGAGTATGAAAATATAACTGTTGAAACTTCTGCTTTTTGTCTGCCGTGGAAAAACAAAGAACTGTTTGTCCTTTAGACTTTTTACATCGGACACACGAGCTAGACCAAGTTTTGATTTCTTCCATGCGATGACTGTCTTCCCAGGTTTGGCACAATCCTGGATGCAATATTTCAAAAGAGAGCTAATGAAGTGTGAAAGGAATCTGGGACCTTTGAGACGCATTACTTAACTAACTCTTACTTAACCTTTCAGAGATGTTGTATATTTAACCACAAACCAAACAGGCAAACTGAACATTTGTAGTCAAAGAAAATTCCAATTTCCTCTCTACAAAAGAAGAGTTTCCACAACAACATGGGTTTGAACTGCACAAGTCCACTTTTATATGGGTTGCCCCCCCCCCCAAATAAATATAGTGGAGATTTTTGACAATTAGAAAAAACTTGCAGATGAATTACATAGCCCAGAAATATGGGGAAAAAATTCAGGAAAAGTTTGATATGTTGTGAAAGCATCCATACATATGTGCAGAAAGAAGGGAGTCTTCATGATGAAATGGGTTACATACATCGGGAGCAGTTCAAACCCACCTGCTGCCCCAAGGGCGAAAGACGAGGCTTTTTTCTTCTGTAAAGTTTTCCAGCCTGGGAGACCCGACCGGGCAGTTCTACTTTGTCTTACAGGGTTATAAGGAGTTGGAACCAACTCAATGGCAGTGAGTTCTGACTTCTCAGAATACACACAGATTTATTTTTAAAGTTAAAAATGATCAAAACTTATGTATACACTTATAGATCACACGGGATGCTATCTGTAGTCTAGAGGAAGGGAGAGGTGCAGTATGAAATCCTATCGGAATAAAATTAAGTAGCATCTACGGTACCACTGTCATAATTTTGTAGCCACCTTCTGTTGCTGTTTGTGGAGAGCTCGAGTGTTGGGAGTTCCCACGTAAAATACTGTGTGATGCCAACCATCTCCAAAATTTCCCAGGGCAACGAAAGGGTTTCTCATGCTTTTCACTGAATCCACTGAGATACTGGAAACCTTGAAACCACCAAGGAACACATAGGTGCCCCGAGTACTGCTGGCAGAGCTCCTAAGAAGCAGAGACATGTCACAAGACTACATGAACAAGTTGACTTGCTTGGCATGACCCATAGGTTGAGGTATGCTGCTGCCATGGACTACCATTTCAAGATGAATGAATGCAGCGTAGGGACCACTGCATAAGAAAACCCCCCACACAGAAGAAAAATGGTCAGGGTGCTGCTAGAGCTGTGCCCACAAGTGTAAAACCTTGTACTTTTTGCAAAATGCTTTTTAAAATGCTGATTATAGGTAGGTGCAGTATAATACCAGGAGGCTTCCAAAAATTATGGATAAATACAAGTTAATAGATGATGGGATTTTTTCACAAACTTT